TCATATCCTAGGTCATGAATCAGGTCTCAACTGGTACCAAAAGATTGGGATCATTCCCTGCCTATTTTCAGACCACAATGCTTTGAAACTAGAACTCAATCACAAGAGGAAAGTCGGAAAGAACTCAAATACATGGAGGCTAAAGAGCATCCTACTGAAGAATGAATGGGTCAACCAGGAAATTAAAGAAGAATTAAAAAAATACATGGAAACCAATGAAAATGAAAACACAGCTATACAAAATCTTTGGGATGCAGCAAAGGCAGTCCTAAAAGGAAAGTATATAGCAATACAAGCCTTTCTCAAGAAGCAAGAAAGGTCTCAAGTACACAACCTAACGCTCCACCTAAAGGAGCTGGAGAAAGAACAGCAAATAAAGCCTAAACCCAGCAGGAGAAGAGAAATCATAAAGATCAGAGCAAAAATCAATGAAATAGAAACTAAAAGAACAGTAGAACAGATCAACGAAACTAGGAGCTAGTTCTTTGAAAGAACTAACAAGATTGTTAAACCCCTGGCCAGACTGATCAAAAAGAAAAGAGAAATGACCCAAATCAACAAAATCATGAATGAAAGAGGAGAGATCACAACCAACACCAAAGAAATACAAACAATTATAAGAACATATTATGAGCAACTCTATGCCAGCAAATTAGATAACCTGGAAGAAATGGATGCATTCCTAGAGATGTATCAACTACCAAAACTGAACCAGGATGAAATAGAAAACCTGAACAGACCTATAACCACTAAGGAAATTGAAGCAGTCATCAAAAATCTCCCAAAAAACAAAAGCCCAGGGCCAGATGGCTTCCCAGGGGAATTCTACCAAACATTTCAAGAAGAATTAATACCTATTCTTCTGAAACTGTTCCAAAAAATAGAAATGGAAGGAAAACTTCCAAACTCATTTTATGAAGCCAGCACTACCTTGACCCCCAAACCAGACAAAGACCCCATCAAAAAGGAGAATTACAGACCAATATCCCTGATGAACATGGATGCAAAAATTCTCACCAAAATACTAGCCAATAGGATCCAACAGTACATTAAAAGCATTATTCACCATGACCAAGTGGGATTTATCCCTGGGCTGCAAGGTTGGTTCAACATCCGCAAATCAATCAATGTGATACAATACATTAACAAAAGAAAGAACAAGAATCATATGATCCTCTCAATAGATGCAGAAAAAGCATTTGACAAAGTACAGCATCCTTTCTTGATCAAAACTCTTCAGAGTATAGGGATAGAGGGTACATACCTCAATATCATAAAAGCCATCTATGAAAAACCTACAGCGAATATCATTCTCAATGGGGAAAAACTGAGAGCTTTCCCCCTAAGGTCAGGAACGCGGCAGGGATGTCCACTATCACCACTGCTATTCAACATAGTATTGGAAGTCCTAGCCACAGCAATCAGACAACAAAAAGAAATCAAAGGCATCCAGATTGGCAAAGAAGAAGTCAAACTCTCACTCTTTGCAGATAATATGATACTTTATGTGAAAAACCCCAAAGACTCCACCCCAAAACTGCTAGAACTCATACAGGAATTCAGTAAAGTGGCAGGATATAAAATCAATGCACAGAAGTCAGTGGCATTCCTATACACCAACAACAAGACAGAAGAAAGAGAAATTAAGGAGTCGATCCCATTTACAATTGCACCCAAAACCATAAGATACCTAGGAATAAATCTAACCAAAGAGACAAAGGATGTGTACTCAGAAAACTATAAAATACTCATAAAAGAAATTGAGGAAGACACAAAGAAATGGAAAAACGTTCCATGCTCATGGATTGGAAGAACAAATATTGTGAAGATGTCAATGCTACCTAGAGCAATCTGCACATTCAATGCAATCCCCATCAAAATACCATCCACTTTTTTCAAAGAAATGGAATAAATAATCCTAAAATTTGTATGGAACCAGAAAAGACCCTGCATAGCCAGAGGAATGTTGAAAAAGAAAAGCAAAGCTGGCAGCATCACAATTCCGGACTTCCAGCTCTATTACAAAGCTGTCATCATCAAGACAGCATGGTACTGGCACAAAAACAGACACATAGATCAATGGAACAGAATAGAGAGCCCAGAAATGGACCCTCAACTCTATGGTCAACTCATCTTTGACAAAGCAGGAAAGAATGTCCAATGGAACAAAGACAGTCTCTTCAACAAATGGTGTTGGGAAAATTGGATAGCCACATGCAGAAGAATGGAACTGGACCCTTTCCTTACACCACACACAAAAATAGACTCCAAGTGGTTGAAAGACCTCAATGTGAGACAGGAGTCCATCAAAATCCTAAAGGAGAACACAGACAGCAACCTCTTTGACCTCAGCCGAAGCAACTTCTTCCTAGAAACATCGCCAAAGGCAAGGGAAGCAAGGGCAAAAATGAACTATTGGGACTTCATCAAGATAAAAAGCTTTTGCAAAGCAAACAGTCAATAAAACCAAAAGACAACCGACAGAATGGGAGAAGATAATTGCAAATGACATATCAGATAAAAGGTTAGTATCCAAAATCTATAAAGAACTCATCAAACTCAACACCCAAAGAACAAAGAATCCAATCAAGAAATGGGCAGAAGACATGAACAGACATTTTTCCAAAGAAGACATCCAAATGGCCAACAGACACATGAAAAAGTGCTCAACATCGCTTGGCATCAGGGAAATCCAAATCAAAACCTCAATGAGATACCACCTCACACCAGTCAGAATGGCTAAAATTAACAAGTCAGGAAACGACAGATGTTGGCGGGGATGCGGAGAAAGGGGAACCCTCCTGCACTGTTGGTGGGAATGCAAGCTGGTGCAGCCACTCTGGAAAACTGTATGGAGGTTCCTCAAAAAGTTGAAAATAGAGCTACCATATGATCCAGCAATTGCACTACTGGGTATTTACCCCAAAGATACAAAAGTAGGGATCCGAAGGGGTACGTGCACCCCGATGTTTATAGCAGCAATGTGCACAATAGCCAAACTGTGGAAAGAGCCAAGATGTCCATCGACAGATGGATGGATAAAGAAGAAGTGGTATATATATACAATGGAATATTATGCAGCCATCAAAAGGAATGAGATCTTGCCATTTGCAACGACGTGGATGGAATTGGAGGGTATTATGTTGAGTGAAATAAGTCAAACAGAGAAAGACATGTATCATATGATCTCACTGATATGAGGAATTCTTAATCTCAGGAAACAAACTGAGGGTTGTTGGAGTGGGGGGTGGGGTGGGAGGGATAGGGTGACTGGGTGATAGACACTGGGGAGGGTATGTGCTCTGGTAAGCGCTGTGAATTGTGCAAGACTGTTGAATCTCAGATCTGTACCTCTGAAACAAATAATGCAATATATGTTAAGAAAAAAAAAAGAAGAAGAAGAAGGTAGCGGGAGGGGAAGAATGAAGCGGGGGAAATCGGAGGGGTAGACGAACCATGAGAGACGATGGACTCTGAAAAACAAACTGAGGGTTCTAGAGGGGAAGGGGGTGGGAGGATGGGTTAGCCTGGTGGTGGGTATTGAGGAGGACACATTCTGCATGGAGCACTGGGTGTATGCACCAACAATGAATCATGGTACACTTCATCTAAAACTAATGATGTAATGTATGGGGATTAACATAAGAATAAAAATAAATAAATAAATAAATAATTACACTTCAATATAATAAATAAATAAACACATGGGAGAAACAAGAAAAAAGAGAGAGAAGACACAATATATTAATATCGGGAATAAAAGAAGGATATTACTATAGACCCTGCAGACAACAAAAGGTAAGAAAATACTATGAACTCTGCTCAATCCAATTTGACAACGTAGACGAAATATGACTCAAAAAGCACAAACTAACCCATCTTACCCAACATGAAATAGATAATTTGAATAGCCTATTTTTTTATTAGTTTCAGAGGTAGAATTCAGGGATTTATCAGTTGCATAGCCCTATAACTATTAAGGAAGTTGAATTCAAACTACTGAGAAGAAATGCTCAGGCCTAGATCTTTTACTAAAAGAAATTTACCAAATGTTTCAAGAAGAATTAACCCCAATTCTACACAATCCCTCCCAGAAAAAATAGAAAAGAAGGGAACTTGTGCCAACTTGTTTTAGGAAACCAGTATAACCTTCACACCCAAACCAGACAAAGATATCATTAGAAGAAAAGATCACAGGCCAATATCCCTTAGGTATATAGATATATAAATCCTTAACAAAATGTTAGTAAATTGAATCCACGGGCTTTTACATAATTCAACACCCATTCGTGATATAAAACAAAAACTCTCACAAAGTATAGAAAAGAAGTTCCTCAACTTGATAAAGAGGGTCTACCAAAAAAATTGACAGCTAATCTACTACTTCATAGTGTAAGATGAGATGCTTGAAGATGGCTTATCTAATAGCGCTACCGTGTCAATGATCAATACATGATTTTTCTTCATCTTATCTCCACCACCCAGACCCTATCCACGTCTCCATTTCTCTTCAACATTTGGAAAACACTTATTCATTCAATAAATAGATACTGCAGACCTGTGCTAGGCTCTAGGGACTCAGGGTTGAACAAATGAGACACTGTAATTCTCAGTTGGGCAGAGGAGAGCAGAACTGGATCATCCATGGAGCTTTGACTCAAACTACCTCCCTCTCTTCCTCCCACTGGGCCAGCCACAGATTTTACTAAAATACCTTCCCTCGGGAAGTTTTCCATTCCCATTAAAATCACCAGGTGCTGGGGCGCCTGGGTGGCTCAGTCGTTAAGTGTCTGCCTTCGGCTCAGTTGTTAAGTGTCTGCCTTCAGCTCAGGGTCCTGGGATCAAGCCCCGCGTCAGGCTCCCTGCTCCGCGGGAAGCCTGCTTCTCCCCCTCCCACTCCCCCTGCTTGTGTTCCCTCTCTCGCTGTGTCTCTCTCTGTCAAATGAATAAATAAAATCTTTACAAAATTAAAAAAGTAAAAATAAGTAAAATAAAATCACCAGGTGCTGATGGAGCCTTATCTTATTCCTCGGGTACGTGTTGCAGAGAAGCAGTCTGAGGACTTCTGATGTATGCAGGTGTTACGAGAGGATGAAAGATGTCTCAGTGTAACTGACACTTGCTGAGAGCCTACTGTGTCCCAACGGTTGTAGGCTAGTGCCCACAGCTCAAAGATTTCAAGATAGATTCGGTCCCCATTAAGATCAGAGTTGGACAAAAGCAGACAAACCTGTAAATGAAAAGGACAGAAGGATGACAGGGCAAAACCTGAAAGAGTAGGCATGAGGGGACCATTTGGATGAGTGTGCTTATTTTTATTGTGCAGGGTGGGGTGTGGTTGGAAAGTTGCCCAGCTTAAATGTATCTTAAAATATGGGAAAACCTTTTCCCAGTCCTGCCATCTTTCTGAGCCTGCTGTCACTGTCCTCATTGAATTTGTAATTTCTGGTACTTGAAGATAACACAGGTATGGATTATTATGTCACCATGAATAACCAAAAGGAAAAGGAAAAGCTAATTATTTCCCAGAACTATATATGCAACACACACATGATATAAGACCGCTCTGGAAAAAATGTCATAATAATAAAAGATATAATTTGTCGAGTCCTTACTGTGTGCCAGGTGCTGTACAGAGCATATTATAGCCACGATCGTATCTCCTTCTCACACCACTACTGTAAAGAGATCATTATTTCCCCTACTTACTAGGCAGGAAACCAAAGCTCAAAGAGACCATACAAATTTCTCAATGCTACATAGATTGTAAACAGGAGTGCCAGGATTCCAATCCAGTCTACAGTTGTGGATTTGATGGGGTCAAAAAATAACATCCCTCAAGTTCAAACCAACTGACATATGGTCATATGGAGTCAGGCAGATGGAAATCACAATGTCAGCTTTATCACCAGAGAAAATTAGGCAGGAGGACATGGCTAAACTGTATGATCAAACAAGCCTAATGATACTCCTCTGAACTGAAGCTTCCCTCCCCCCAAACACAGGCCCTTACTGCACAATGCACTTTACTAAAGCGTGCCCATTGGGATGCTTTCTCTTTACAGGTGTACCCATGGAAAGGAGAGATAAGACCAGGGTCCCTCAACCCAGTGTTCGGTGAGTAAGGGCCACTGGGACCAGCAGAACTGCCTTAGGGAAGGCTTCTTTTTTTTTTTTTTTCTTAATTAACGTATAGTGTATTATTAGTTTCAGAGGTAGAACTTATTGATTCATCAGTTGCATATAACACCCAGTGCTCATTCTATCAAAGACTTCTAAAAGCAAAAGGAAGGAGGGAGAAACAAATGATCCCTAACATGCCCTACGCTGGGCTCTCTTAATCCATTCAGGTTTGATTTTCAATCTTACCCCTACCAGGAGTGAAGCTATGCCCTTCAAGGGAAGACCTCACCTCCAACATCAGCCACTGTTCCACGGAGCAGCCCTCTGGAACTACAGATGTGTAGTTTTGATTTTGCCCCCAAAAGGTTCTGAAATAGTATGAGCAATCCATTCATTACAGAACTTGAAAAACTTTGCACGTAAACTGAAAATATACCCCTAATGCTCTGCCTTCCCTTTAATTGCATTCAGGCAAATTGTCCAGTAGAGCTTACTGGAGGTTCTGTGATACGATTTAAGAGTATCGGGAAGATGCTCTGATAACTTAAAACCAATCACCTAGAAATGTCCTAAAGTTGAATAAAACCACTTCCATTATCATATTTGCAAAAAAAGACTAAACTCCCAAGATAAAATCCTTTGCAATATAAATCTGAAGAAATAATGTCTAAAGGAATTAAAAGCCCAAATCAAATTATCTTGCCTTTTTTAGCTAACAGTCTCTAGACTATGGCAAAGCTGCCCATTAGAGATTCAAACTCCCCTTTCATAATATATTGTTATTATTTGGAAGTGGTTGCCAATTACACTGCCCAGGCTCCCCTTCATCTAAATGTGGCCAAATAATTGAGTTCTGGCCAATGAAATAGGGACAGAAGTGATATGTGCCCCCGCTTCCAGGCCAGGCTCACAAAAGCCTGGGCATGATCTTCCATTGTCTCTCTCACTTCTCCCCTCTACCTGCTGGGGACTGACCCAAGTTACCCAAGTCTCCTTCAACCTGGGCTCCCCCCATGCCTGTATGGAGCAGCCCCTACATCACCACCACAAATAGTATTTCATGTCAAAAGTCTAGGGTTTGCTTGTTATAGCAACTAACATTAACTTGATCAAGAGAAAGTGAAAAGAATCTAAAGTCTCACTTCTGCTATATTATGCTCAATCTCAGACTAGATATTCATTCAGAAGTGGAGGTAGCATTGAGTCCCCTTTGGGAGTTCAGCCTGGGCTGTTCATTAATGGATCTGCTCATTCAAGACCATAACAAAAAAATCTCACTGAGCTTCATGAATCAAGAGTCCAAACTGTTAACTGAATGCATAGGGTTGTCACAGTCTGGGCCCCACACCCATGAAATTTAGAAAATAAGTATATCCCCAGTTTTAGGGCAGTTTTGCCAAGCAAAATGATGTTTCCAGAACCTAAGAACCATAGCCAACGAAGAGGAAAGAGATAAAGCGAGGAGAAAAGGGGATCCTTTCTCGATTCATCCTGGCCAGGTTGTTGCTCAGTCTTATGATAGGCTGTCCAGGGATCCTGACCTATGACACAAAACACAACTGGGAGTGATCTCCCTGGTTCCATAATGAACCATGTTAGGGCACCATTTGCCATCTCAGGGAGGGATCCACCTATGCTCACTTTTTCGCCTTCCAGAGAGTAGCACTGGAGAGATTGTTGATTATTTAGCAAAGTTTCAAATTTTACAATGGTGGCATCCCTAGTCTGCAGATCTTACTGGAGGTGCCTTTCCTTCCCCTCTTACATCTTCAGAAAACTGAAGCTCTGTTCCCCCTCTGAGCTGTGTCTGGCATCCCTAGTGTAGAACTGAATAAGCACTCCAACTTACTGTTGTAAAATCACCTCCACAGTCTCTTGTGAGCAGCCCTCTGCTCTGTGTCCCAATGATTGTTGGCTTTCTTCCTGGTTGGAATTATCTGGATCTGAGATACCAACTTCTTAGCGTATTTTTTTCCTCCAGTTCCCATGTTTGTTCCCACTGAGGGATCATCTTCAATGGATTTCTGAGCAGAGACTGCTATTGATGTTGCTGAAGCCCATGGTCCCAAGGGCATAGGGACAATACCTACCTCTGCCCGCCACCCTCAAGATGTTGTATCTCCTCAGCTTGTCAAAGTCTCTAGTCTTGGACAACCATTCTTTCTTCTATATCTTCTTTTATTTCCTTTCTACTTGGATATACTGATATTAATTAATTTCCATCTGCCATCCGCCTACTGTTCTGTGAGGATGCAGCTGGGTTTCTAGACGTTTCCCCTGCCTCATTCATTGGCCCTTTCCCCTCTCTAGCAAATGGAAGCTAACATTTGTACCTGAATTACATGTCTCCCTTCCTTACGCTTCTCCAAGGTTTCAGGTGCTATGATGTATAGATTTCCAGAGCATTTCCTCTCAAAAACAACACTAACCCTTATCCCCTCCCCATTTTGCTTTGAACCGATCTTTCCAAAAGGCACAGGTGGCAACGGGGGAGAGACATCATCCCATCTTTCACTGATGCGCCTACTTTGGTCTGTTGCATTGGCAACCTTCAAGCACTTCAGCACATTGGCATAACTGCCGTGGACAGCTGGGCATCAGCACACATCTCCGCGGCACCCTGGAGCTGATACCAGCCAGCGTGGTGCTCTCACTTCCTCCGTTATCCTTGCCAGCTCTGAGAAAGTGTCAAGCCTTGCCAGCAGCTGTTTAATGCCTGTAGACATGTAGGCTGGATTTGTTAGCTTCTTATCAGCTTACAAATGACTTCGACAAATTTTCTTCTTTGATTTTCTTTTTCCTTTTGCAGGAATGTTTGGATTCCGAGTGCATAGTCTTGTTTATATACCAATTAAAGCAGGAAGCAATTATCATCAATTACCATGTGAGACTAGCTACTGTCTTGTAATTACTGTGTTAATTGACATTAAGTTTAGATAGAAATTATTGTTGCCTCCTTCCAACTAAAACCAAAGAACAGCATGTCAGGAGTGAAAGAAAGAAGATCTACAAATATAATCTTCTCCTATAAGAAAATCTGTCTAGAGAACATTTCCTTAAATGTTTGTGTATTTCTCATTTCTTAAGTCATTCCTTCATTCGAAAACTTATTATGATGATGTGGTTGACAGCCTCCAAAATGGTCCCAAATGACCCATGTCTCCTGGCTTTCAAGCCCTCAAATAGACTTCTCCCACATTAAATAGAACTGGCCCAGATAACCATAGGGTATTGTTGAAATGGTTCTGCATGACTCCCATGATTAGGACAATGAAAAAGATTGCAACTGCCACCTTGCTCTCTTGGATTGTTCACTCTGTGAGAAGTCAGCCCCATGTCATGAGGACACTCAAGCAGCTCTATGAAGAGATCAACATTATAGGGAACTGAGGCCTCCTACCAATGACCAATACCAAGGTGCCAATCAGATGAGTGAACCACAGTAGAAGTGAACCCAGTCCAGTCCCAGCCAAGTCTTCAAAGAACTACAGCCCCAACCTACATCTTACTTGCAACCTCACCAGAACCACCCAGCTAAGTTGCTTCCAAATGGCTGACTCACAGAAACTATAAGATATCATTAATATTTATTATTGTTTAAATCACAAAATTTTGAGATAATTTGTTATGCAGCAGTAGATAATCGATATAGACGGTGATTATGATTTTGATGGCTGTGATGGTAATCCTAACTCTAACTCCCTGGGAAAAGATAAAGTCAGACATAGAATTCTCCCTGTAAAAGTGTGACAACTTGAATTAAAAAATAATCACAAGGCAAACAAGTTGGAGATAAATGGCATTGCTTATTCAGATTCTGATTTGTAGGTGCATCCTTAGTGACGAAGGCAGAGTAAGTACCCTGATTCTTTGATCCCAAGACTTAAAAAAGTAATTTATCTCCTAACTAAGGAGAGGGAAGCAAAGTTCTTGGAAAGAAGAACTACAACAAGGTTCTTTTGTCACTCATATAGCTTTTCTGTGGTGTATTTCCTAGCATTCAGTGTAAAAACAGAGAAGAGGGTCTGCCTTACTATCAAGTTGCTTTATTACAGAGCTGTCTTTAGCCATCTGAAATGTAAACCTCTGTGTTTGTACAGATGTTAA